CATGGGAGTAAAAAAGATGTTGGAATGAGATGGACATCATTACCCTAAGTACTTGTATGAAGACACGATTTGGTGTGAATATACTTTGTATAAAACCAGAGATATGGGGCTGGGGATGTGGCTCAAGTGGTAGAGCGCTCTCCTGGCATGCGTGCGGCCCAGGTTCGATCCTCAGCACCACATACAAACAAAGATGTTGTGTCCACCAAAAACTAAGAAATAAATATTTAAAAAAAACAGAGATATGAAAAATTGTGTTCCTTGTGTGTAATATGAATTGTAATGCATTCATTCCTGTCATATGTAACAAGTTAGAATTTTAAAAAATTGGATTCATTTCTAAAATCTTTTGAGAGCAAAAGTTCAAAATACCCCCAACAAACTTCTGCTGTTTCCTCTGTGATACACTGGCTATCCCAGGGAGGTGTGACATGATAGTTTTAGAAATACAAGCTGAAGCTGGGCATGGTGGTGCATGCCTGTAATCCCAGAAGCCAAGGAGGAGAGGCAGGAGGATTGTGAGTTCAAAGTCAGCCCCAACAACTTAGGGAGGCCCTAAGCAACTCAGTGAGACCCTGTCTCTAGATAAAATATAAAATAGGGCTGGGGGTGTGGCTCAGTGGTTGGTGCCCCTGAATTCAATCTCCAGTACTAAATAAATAAATAAGTAAATAAAACAGAAAAGAAATACAAGCCCTAACCTAGGCAATGTGCTGGTATTTTATAAATTTATCCCACTAAATCCTGTCCCAAAACTCTATAGGCTAGGTAACCTCAATACATGGCAGATAAGAAAAGGGCCAGGACAGATAAATATCTCAACCATGGACCTACAGTTAGGTCCATGGCACTCAAGGTCTCCCACTGAGGGTCTTACTTTTTCCCTTTGAAAAGCAGTTTTGCAGTAATCACAAAGTTAGGGAAACAGAGATAGATACCAATAACCTTAGCTCCTTATTTTTTTCTTTAGCCACCTTATTAATTTAAGTATAGTTAATATTTAATAATTAATTTAATAACAATTGATTTAATAATTAATTCAATGATTTATTATTATTAATTTAAATATGGTTAATATTTAAATTAATTATAATAGATTAATTATGATAGCACCTCAGTATAATTCCTCATACTGTAGATTTAAATCATTATGATTTCATACTACATTCCATGCCTTGAAACATGCTATCCAGATTGACAAGGATAAAAAAGTAAGAAGTATAAGCACCCTGCAAAAAAATCTCACATTGAAATATGGCCACAAACCAGAGGGTTTCACACAAAGGCAAGGATTTGGAAGGTGAGGGAGATAACAACCCTATAGGTTTTTCTATCTTCTACTCAGGTCTCCACTACATGTAGAAGCAGATTTAAGTGGCATAAATCAGAAAATGATAATGGGAACTGAATGAAATTCTCATAAATCACGTTACTAAGTATAGTTACATCGTAGATGTGAAACCCAATTAAACAGATGGCCACATGCTGTCAGAATCAGCCCCTAATCAATAAAGATGTTCATTTTAGAAAATCACCTCAATTTTTCACTTTTTCAGTGAAGCAAAAAGAAGGCAGTTGTAGAGGGAGGGAGTCTCAGGAAACCCAGTGGAGAAATGTGCAAGAAGCTCCACCTGTCCTAATTTGTAGTCCAGAAAATCAGGAAGGGAAGGAGGGGAAGCCACCCAAAGGATTCCTTGTCATGTTGCCTGGAAATAGAATTTACAATGAGAGCACGCAGTGGTCATTAGGAAAACAGAAACAGCTTGAATCTCTTAATTAAAATACTGCTTCAAATTGTTCGTTTTAAAACCCCTCTATGAGCTTTTGAGAAGCCATTGGTTTTCCTTGAGATGGCTCTTCCTGGTAAACTCTGACAAATTCAGCTCTTTCCAGGCAAAAAAAAAAAAAAAAAAAAAGGCAGAGCAGGGGGGATCCTGGAGGTGGAACTATTATTAGACACACCAAGTCCCGAAAGAAGCACTAAGCCTTCAGTGGCATTTGAAAGTAAGTGGAGAAACAAAGGTGAAGAGATTATCTTGTTGATTTTCTTGCTAAGATCAAATCTGGATCTGACATAATAGTGCATAATTTAAGGATATCTATATGGATTATTAATTTTTATCTTAAAAAATAAGGGAAAGATAAATTAAAAAATCAGAATGGTAGTGAACTCTATGGTGAGGAAGAAAATGAAATGGGGAGAGAGACAGTAGCTGCAATGATACTCGTAATGTTCTGGTTTTTTGCTGAGTTACGGCTTCATGGGCACACACTCATTTTATGGTTTCTTATAGACTTTATAATCGACATGGGCCAACATGTTATACATATTGTTTTGCATGTACCAAATATTACATAATAAAACTCTTCCTTTTCTTTTTACTTTTCTGTTGTGTTGTGTAGTACTGGGGATCCAACCCAGGACCTCATGCATGCTACTTAAGTGCTCTTCCATAGCTGCACACCCAGCTCCAATATTTTATTTCTTTTAAAATAAATGATCTAAGAATACCCCTTCACTTAATAGATTATTCCAAATATTATTATAATAATACATTTAAATAAATAGTAGTATAATTTTAGTTATAATTACTATCTCAAATATCATAAGTTCCCAAGTAACATATGCAGCTTAGTTTTCAACTTGGAGCTTAGTACCTTAAGAAAGCAACAGTATTTTCATGATAATGAATATTTATATAGTGAGTAGTGACATTCAAAATATTTAACAACTTATTTGGTTAAATAAATTAGTGTAGAAATTAAAAAAAAAAATCAGCACCATCTGCTTGTTTTCCTTCTGCTCATTATTCTCACAGACCAAAGTCCTACAGACATCTATTTCCAAATGTGGCCACAGGAGGGCGACTCTGGTCGTGAGTAGACACAGCTCTGAAGCTGTGGTCTCTGGCCAGGAAGTACTGTAGAGACAAAGAGCAGCTTGAAGGACTTAGAGCAAGCAGGCTGATTGACTGGCTAGAGGACAGACATAATAAGATGCTTCAGTGAAAAGGTGTTGTTTGAGTAAACACTTGAAAAGTAGGGGGGGTTAAACTTGCAGATCCCTTGGGATTCCAAGGCCAAGAGATCCCCAAGTACAAATACCTCAAGGGAAGAGTGTATCAGATATGCTGTAGGACTGTGAAAAAGGCCAGTGTGGCTAGAACTGAGGGAGGGAGGGAAGAGTAGTAGGAGGTAAAGGCAGAGAGAGATCCGCCTCTAGGTCAAAGTAAGCAATTTAACTTTTAAGATGAGTAAAATAAGATACTGGTTTAAAAAAAAAACTTTGAACAAAGGAGTAACTTTGATTGTAAATTTTTTTTAAATAGATGCAATACCATATTTAGAATCGACTGAATCAGAATGAGGACAGAAGCAAGGAGACCAGGTAGAAGGCTGTTACCATAATCAAGGTGGGAGATGATGGTGTGAACAAGAATGATTCTGTCCCTGTGTTCAACACTGTAGAAATGTGATTGAATCCATGAGATTAAATGTTATCCCCAAGAGAGTGAATGAAAATGGAGAACAGAGGTGAATAGAACAGACACCAGGGCTGAGCCTTGAAGCATGCCGCCATAAAGAGGAAGAGAAGATGAGGAGAATCCAGCAAAGGTTTGACAAGGAGTGGCCCATCTTCCCTGCAACAGGCTTCAACCAACTTGAGCTTGATGCCTGTCAAGTCTTTACCCTTTTACTACAAAGAGATGTACCTCTGAACAATATACAGAATTGTTCAGCATGATTTTCAACTTCATTTACATGATATTATACTCCATATAATTTTCCAAGTTCTCTTTTCTCATAGAACTTAGTATTTTTTAAATCCATCTATGTAAATACATGTCACTTTAGATCATCAAATTTTCACTGCCGTATGGTATTCCTTTGTGTGAACATGCTATATTAGATTCACTTTCCTGCAAAGGTAAACATAGGGGATTTTCCTTTTTCTGCTACTGTCAATAACATTTCTGTGAGTATTCTCGCATAGGCCTCCTTTTGCCTTGCCTTGCCTTGTATGAGAGTTCTCCAAGGCAGAAAACTTTTCAAACTTAAGCATACATTAGAATCACCTGGAGGCTTTTTAAAAGCAGGTTTCTGAGCCCCACATCCAAAGTTTGTGATCCATAGGTCTGAGGTAGGGCCTGGAAATTTGCATTTCTAACAAGTTCCCCATGATGTTGTTGCTGCTGGTCCAAAAACCAAATAATGAGAACCCCAGCACTGGAGCACATGTAGGTACCCCTTTGGCTCTTTTAGATAATGTCAAATTGCCCTTCAGTATATGTCTTTATTGGCAACACTGGGTACTGTCAGAATTTTAATTCATGCCAATTCTGATATCTAATACTTTATATATTTATCATGGCATTTATGATTACATGTACCCAATACATATAAGCAAAAGTTTTCAAGATATAACATCATAGGTCTAACTAGAACATTTTCATGGTTTTCTCTTACATACAGTTATTCCCCCTCAGGATGTACAGTCTGCCCAGTTACCTGTCATTCTCCTCCTCAATCTCTAGATAGTATAGTATAGTTAAGATGATCATGAGAGGAAAGTGAAGGCATGATTTCTTCTTCATGAAAAACTTCATTATGGTTTTATTTACTGTAGGTTTTTTTTTAGAGTCACTGATGATGTAAAGCTTAAAAATTAATAAGGCAAAAAAAATGAGGAAAAATAGGTATAAGAAAGAAAAACAAACTTGGGCTGGGGTTGTGGCTCAGTGGCAGAGTGCTCGCCTAGCATGTGTAAGGCCCTGGGTTCAATCCTGAACACCACATATAAATAAATGAAATAAAGATATTGTGTCCACATATAATTTAAAAATATATTTTAAAAAAAGAAAGAGAAACAAACTTATTTCATCCACATACCTGGTCGCTTTTCAAGGGAAAGAAAGAATGCCCTACTCTTCATCAGAGGCATGGAAATGTTCCCTTCATTTTGTACCAGACTTTAAAAGATGTCAAAAGGTTGTACTTACGGATCTGGTTGGTAGATGCACTGTAGAAGGCATTGACAGTTGTTGGATTTGTAAACCACCTATAGGAAGATAAACAAATGCCACAGGGTGATTGTCATTATCCAGGCAGAAGGGTGACAAAGACAAACATGATATAGCTGGATTTATTAGCAGATACCATAGAACAAGGGGATTTGGCCTGGGGAAAATTATTGCCTCAGTTAGGGCTATTGCCTGTTCAGTGAATAATCTCTTCCTAAGTTGAACATGGCTCAATGAGAATATTAACATGCCTGGTCATTCACTGTTACTAACTTACAGGAAAACTCAGCACCAGTGCTTCCAAAGAAGCTATAATGAGAAATTCTAGAATCTAAAAGGCTTTGCCTGCAGATGGAAACACAGCAAAAAGCTGATGTTTGCCAGGCCTTGTTCAATGGATCGATGAGATAGCTACAGTTTTATGCTGCATCACCTCTGACCTGTCCATTCAAAAGTTTCAGATTGGTGATAACATAGAGATCCACTTAAAGAGAGGTGAATAAAGTACCACCATGCTACCCAGAGGGTCTACCTGCTCCAGTGGAAAGCTTACTGATTTTAGTGGCAAAAGAATTAACAACTGGGCCTGTCTATATCATTAACTAGCTGTCTTATAACAGTCACTGACCTTCTTGGAGTCCAGTTTTAGCTATAAAGTTAAAGTAGGCAATTTTGGAGGTCCTTTGCAATTATAAACAGTTTATAACTTCATCTTAAATTTACAGGTTACTTCAGGAATTGGAAATTTGTTCTCTATAAAAAGTCAGACTGTACACATTTTAAGCTTTGTGGGCAAAGAGGCAAAATCAATGAATGGTATTATATAGATATTTGATAGCAAACTTTGCACAATTTTTATTGAAGGAGTTCAAAATAGAATAGTAATTTAGTAGAATTTTTTGTAATGCAAGCCTATTAGTGAGAAGAACTGAATTCTTTTGTGGTGGGATAACATTTTGCTTAATTGAGCTTCAAAGTTATTGCTTCACATCCTTAAACCAATATCAGAGATTTATCTGTAAAAATCATTCTTGGCTTATGGGCTATATGAAAGCAGGCAGCAGGCAAGATTTAGCCCACAGGCTATAGTTTGCCAAACCCCAACGTAGATGCTTGTGGGTTTCAATCACTGCCCTTCATGATTAAAATCAAATAATTCATCTTAAACTAAATGAAACTTGTGTGGGACTGAGGGCATAGCTCAATGCTAGACTGCCTATGTAGCATGCATGGGGCCCTGGGTTCCATCCCTAGAACCACCAAATAAAACTTGTATGAATCCCCTTCAAAGCAATCAATTTACTCACTTATATCTAATAAAATAATTATGCCAGTCTAATGAATTTATTGCTATGAGGCTAATATAAAACTGGTAGGAGGGCTGGGCCTGTATCTCAGTGGTAGAGCACTTGCCTCGCAGATGTAAGGCCCTGGGTTCAATCCTCAGCACCAATAAATAAATAAATAAAAAGAATTGAAACGAAGGATATTTTTTAAAAAACTGGTAGGAAACCCAACTATTATTCTAGCTTCCACTCCTACCTTCTCCTACCTATAAAGAAGTCTATGAATATGTCATATTATTATTATTAATAAACATTCACTAAGCACCTAAGGTTTTACTCCTATAGTCACTACAGGACATATTAGTCCATTTCATAGATGAGGACACTTATATCTGTGAAATGGACTAATTTAGATTTAGAAGCATTACATACTTGCATAAGATCTAGTGTGACTTCAAAGCACTTTTTTTCCACATTGTATTGTATTGGTGCATTATAGTTGTACACAATGATGGGATTTGTTGTTTCATATTCATACATGCACATAATATAACAATATAATTTGGCCAATATCACTCCCCAGCATTTCCTCCCTCCTTCTGCACCTTCCACCCCTTGGTTCATTTCTTCTACTGATGTCCCTTTGATTTTTAGAAAAGCTACCCCCACCTTTGTTTTCCTTTATCCTCTCTAGCTTCCACAAATGAGAGAAAGCATATGACCCTTACCTAAGAAGTTCTCTTAAACATTATATTATACTGGAGACATTTCTGGAAATCAAAAAAAAAAAAAAAGGAAGGTGCCTCCTCTCATGTCAAAATTAAAACTTAGACTTATTTCCATGAAATGCATATTCTCTTCCCTCAAATTTAGGATCAGTATTTCAATTAAGCCCTAATGTGTAATATAAACTTACTGGTTGGCACACTTTCCTGAGGAAACAAGTAGAAGGGAAAGCACATTTACTGACAGAGCTTGCCACCTGTAGTGATCCCCAAGATCTTGTGAATGTTGCTTTATATAGCAAAAAGAACTCTGCAGATGCAATTAAGGTTGAGGACTTGAAAATGGAGAGTTTCTCCCAGACTATCCAGGTAGACTCAATCTAATCACTTGAGTCCTTAACAACAATCTTTTTTGGCTGTAATGACAGAGATGCAACAGGGGAGGTCAGAAGAGATACTGCAGATGAGAAGTCAGGGGATTCCAAGGGTGAGAAGGATCTGATGCACTTTTGCTGCTGGCTCTAAGATTTAGAGACCATATACAAGGACCATAGAAAGGCCCCTGGGAGCTAAGAGTGAGTCCCAGGCAATAGACATCTAAAGTAAGAACTTCAGTTCTACAACCCAAGGAACTGAATTCTGTCAACATTCTTGATGAGCTTTTTCAGAGACTCTTAATAAGAGCCTAGAGAAGCTGATACCTTGATTTCCACCTTCTGAAACCAAAGCAGAGAAACCAGCCAAGCCAAGCCAGATTTCTAACCTACAGAACTGTGAGACAAATGAGTTGTTTTAAGTTGCTACAGTTGAAGTAATTTGTTACAGTAGCAATAGGAAGCTCATACTTTGCCCAAGGAATCCAGCATTTATAGGTTAAAAGAATCCAGACACCTCTCAGCTTGGTTTCTAAAAATCATTCAACTCAATCATAATACACACAAAAGACTCTGTGTATTCTTACACTATGTTCCTTCTCTTTACATCCTTCCCCTTTCTTTCCCTTTAGCAAAGAATAAATGAGCTTGAAACAGCAAATGAACTTATGCTAGACAAAGGTGGACAAAACAAAGAAATCAAATAACCAATTCCTGAAGTAGACTCTGCTGAGGACTTCTGAAGCTTTAGCAAGGATGACTAAAAATCTTACCTCAGATACATGATCTTACCATTCCTGATCCTGCAGAGCTCCTATTGACTCTGGGGCACATTTGGAGCCTTGATTATCCCCAGAGCTAATATTAAGCAGCTGCACCAGCAGATCCTACCAGTTGTTGATACTATTCTTTCTTCTGTTTAGTGTCTATGCCAAACCAACTGTTCAACATTCCATACATTTCCTTTATTATATCCAAGTTTATTATATATTTAGTTTTACCATTCTCTAATGTAAATTGACCTGTGCTAGTTTTATAGTGTATTTATAATTTTTTTATATTCCTCCTATGAAGAGATGGAGTCTAAATTCCTCTCCTCTTGATTATGAGCTAGCCTTAATGATTCACTTCTAAAGAATAAAATGCAGTGGGAATGACACTGTTTGACTTCCAAGGCTAGGCAATTAAGGCTGATACAACCCCAACCCCACCCCAGTATAGGAAGCATGCTTTCTCTCTCTTTCTCAGGAAACTTGTTCTTTCATGTTTCTTTATCAGCCAACATGTTGTTAAGAAACTCAATGTACATGGAGAAGCCATATGTAGGTGTTCCAGCCAACAGCCAGAATCAACCATTGGATATGAGAAAGGCAACTCTTCCCCATGACTCCAACACCAGCCACTATCTAAATGTAACTACATGAAAAACCATGTGCAAGAACCACACAACTGAGACTAGTGACACCCAGAAACATGAGTGATAAAAACAATTATTGCTGTTTTAACCCTTTAAATTTGGAAGCAGTTTGTCATGCAGCAATAGATATCTGGAACACTGAAAAGTTGGCTGTCCCCAGATTAAGTCCTACCCAGTAGGCTGAATTTCCCCCAGAAAACAGTTTTGTTTGCCCAAAATAGTGGTTTAAAAATATTACTGCATTGGACCGGGTATGGTGGTACATGCATGTAATCCCAGCAGCTTGGGAGGCTGATGCAGGAGGATCACAAGTTCAAGGCCAGCCTCAGCAACTTAGCAAGACCCTGTCTCTAAATAAAACATAAAAGGGCTGGGAATGTGGTTCAGTGCTTATGCACCTAGGTTTAATCCCTGGTATCAAAAATTAAAAAAAAAAAAAGAAGCAATGAATTAGAATTTTTAAGTAGAATGTACAGTTACTAGTTCCCCCATGGTCCTCATCATTCCTTGTTGTTGTTTATACTTAGCTAGGTTAGCCATTTCTTCAATGATTGGACCCTGAAAGCATTTGAGTTTGCAGAACTTATCTTCCAATAAGATTTTAAGTTCCTCATGCGTTAAGATAATAGTCCAAATGGTACATTCAGAGTAGAAAATCACTTAATCTATTAAGATGAATTTATTATATTGCAAACATCTACCTTCATAAACAAAGAACATCATTTGAGTACTTTAAATTCTTCCTACTATGTCTTTGTGGTGCTCCTGCAGTCTGTGTTTAGTGAAGAATTTAATGGATAAGGTAGGGGAAAGTCCTATAAATTTAAAATCCCAAAATATATGGGGATGAAATAATACTAGACAATAGGACTGATGAAAAGAATGTAATGCCAAAATATAATGATCTGAAGGACTAACATTCATACTCCATTTTCTTGGAACCATATACAATAGATAATGTACATTAGAGTCAAGTTTCACATTTTACTTGTCAACACTTGAAGATAGTCTAGAGAATATATAATGGGAAAACCATCAAGTATCTATTTCTTTCTTACTAATATTTTGCAGTTTATATAACTCACATTCTGTGCTACAGATGATTTTGCAAACAAAAATTCTGTGCAGAACCATAATTTGTAGAGACATTTGATGCATTTAAAAAATGTATTTTCCAAAATATATAGAAAGAGAATCTAGGCATGTTTGGTCACAGTAGAATGAGAATGAGTTAATAGGGAAACTGGCTTAAAATCATTTCTGTCAAAGAAGAAGATCCTGAGGGAAAGAAATTACTCTTGACTCAAGCCAAGCAGTAAAATAAATCCTCTATTTTTAAGCAAACTGATGAAGTGACAATTCTGAGAACCAACCCCTAAATATGTACCTTCAGGGATGACCACCCAATTAATTTCATTCTTGCTGACATTTCCTATTGCCTTAGAAAATTCTTAATGCACATTAGTGCAGCTAAAATGAATTCCATGAGAATGAAAGATAGAGGGTATTTATCTCCTATCCCCACAAAGAAGTAAAATGTTATTTCAGGGTTTTGTGGAAATATAATCATGATGTGCTGTTCAAAGTGTAGAGGAGCTACTCCAGAATCATCCCCACTTGATTAACTTATGAATTTCAGACTTTAAAAATGTCAATTAAAGCCAATGGCTGTCATGAAACTAAAATTCCCTACAATGCCTGACAAAGTCCAGCCAGATATTTATGTAGGAAGGGAGGGAGGGAGGGAAGAAAGCAAGGAAGGAAGAGGGAAGCAGAGGGAAGGGGAGGGGAGGGGAGGGTAGAAGAGGGGAGGGAGGAGGGGAGGGGAGGGAGGAAGGGAGGGAATGACTGTCATATCACTTTACCATGCAAACAGGTTAAATCTCTTAATGTTGTTTACCCTGAAATAGACATAATCTGAGAAAACAAGAATCAAAAGTATTATACCTATATTCATTCTTGGAGGATTTCTCCCTAAACATAAACCAATTTAATATCCTTGTGAAAGAGGTAAAGTCAGCTCTCCACATCCACAGGTCAGAAAAAAAAAATGCACCTCTACCCGATATGTTCAGACTTTCTTCTTGTCCTTATTCTCTAAACAATATAGTAATGCATCTATTTACATTGTATTAAATATTGTAAATAATCTACAGATGCTTTAAAATATATGGGAAGATGGACATAGGTTATATGCAAAAGCAACTCCATTTTGTATAAAAGACTTGAGCATCCTCAGATTTTAGTATCTGTAGGATGTCCTGAAACCAATTCTGCATAGATTCTAAGAAACGACTATATTTGTTTTCCACTGATGGAGAAAAAAAAAACTACACATATCAAACAATTTGCCTAAGCCCACAAATTCACCCAGCATTTTTCCAAGGCATGAATAAAATATTAGCAATAGTCAAGAGCATTAGAATCTGACAACCAATCAGTATTTTAAGATACTGTTAAAGATGACACATTTAGGACTTTTTCAATTAGCAGCACAAGCCCTGCTACATATCCAAATGAATACTGACATTTTGAAATTGAAGAATTAAATTGGCATCATATCTAATATGGAGGAGTTCCTGCAAAAACCATAAAAAGTTACAAAAACACTGCTTGGTAAAGCCTTGAATTTTCCACAAATTTAAAAAAAAAAAACTTTTAACTGATCTGAATTAAAGGGCAGAATGATTTGCTTATATCTAAAACAACCCTACTGTATGGAGATGGTCATAAAGATATTAGAAATCATTTGCTAAGGAATGGAATATAGCTCAGAGGTAGGGCACTTGCCTAGCATGTGCAAGGCCCTAGGTTCAATGCCCAGCACTACAAAAATAAAAATTGTTGAAATCATTGGGTTTTGGTCATCAGATTTTAGAGCCCTAAATCTAAAATTTCTATTGTGTAGTTTAGTTTGAGGATTAAACAGGATAGGGAGACTAAGACATAATATGATAAGAGAAAAGAACCCAAGGCAGCAGACAATTATCTTTAGACAATTATCTATCATTACCAAAGAAATTTTAAAGCTATCTGTTTTCTTCTTTGATGCTTTTGTTTGGAGTCAGAGATAGATAGAGGAATGATCTAGCTTGGGTCTATTCCTTCAAGGGAATAACTTACAAGTATCCTCACAGATGTATGTTGTACAAAAATTTGAAAGGCAGAGGGCAGGGATGGCTAGATGGGAGCATAGAGTGCTTAAACCTGGGTACAGGGGATTAGAGACCCTACAATCCAAGACAGAGTAGGGAGTTGAAAAGTGACAAAAAAAATATCAAAATAACCAGCCAAAGATCTAGAAACTAAGTATCAGCCAAGGTTAAAAAAAAAAGTGGACTATTGGGGTTAAATCTGCAAGCTTTGTCATCTAAAAATGGTCAACTTGGTGGAAAATGAATGAAGAAAACCCAGACTCAAATTTAAAAAAGAGATCCTGAAACTGAAAGTCAAATAAAAGCTAAATAAGCACTCCACATATCCCTGGTTGAGTAGGAAATTAGGTATATATACAGGGGAGACCAGAGAGAACCCAGTAGAAGGTACAATCCAAGGCAGATGGAGTGCTGGCTGTGACTTTGAAGGCACTCCCAGCCTACACACAGAGCAACTGGCACAGGGTAGAAGCCCAACAGGCTGGAGGTGGGTGAGCATAGCCATGCCCTAATCACTGGCTGAGCACTAAGTTGTGGAAACACGGGGGTAATCATCAGGAATAAAAAATAAGAACTAAAAAACTGAGCAAAATATCCACACCTCCTTAGTACAGAAGATATAAATTCTGTAGTGTAATTCCAGCAAAGTCACTCTAAGAAAAGCCTTAGAAAAACAAATCAAAATCCAGAGTTGTTTCATCATCTAAAATGTCATTTTCAACAACAAAAATTATGTTATGCAAAGAAAAAGTATAAAAGAATCAATCAATAGCAACTGACTCTAAGTGAGCCCAGATACTGGATTTGGCAAAGATGTGAAAGTAGCCATTATAAATTAGTTCAAAAAATTAAGCTACATTCAAAAAATTCATGATAAATATGACAGTGACTCAATAAATAATCACAGGGAAGCAGAAACTACAAAAAAAGAAAGAAAAGGAAATTCTGGAGTTAAGAACAGATCAATAGAAATTATCCAACCTAGAGAACCAAGAGAAAAAATAAAACACTGGAGAAATGGGCCACAGTAGAATAGAATCTAGTCCCAGAACCAAAAGGACCAGAAGGCAGAACAAAAAGTAATCTAAACCTGAGCTGAAGAATTTCTCAATTGTAAGCTTGTTATTCAGTTGTAAAATAGGGGTAACTGTACTTCTACCTCCCAGAAGTGACATGAGGATAAAATGAATTAAAAATTGTGAAGTGCTTCCTAGCATATTGTAAACACACAATAACTGTTAGCTGCTATGATGATGGTGATGATGATGATGATCATCATCATCATCATCATCATCATGAATAGCAGCAGCACCAGCACCAGCATCTGCTCAGGGCAGAAATCAGAACTGGCTGGCCCTGGGCCTCAAAGTGTTTAAGGAAACTCTCCTACCAATAGGGAATGTTCTTATAGACAGAAGAAGACAAATAAATCTTAGCTGCTATTCTAATAGAAATAATATAGCTCTGAGTTCTTTGATATGCATTACACCTCAACAAATATCTTCTAGATGCTTCAAAATTATTCAATTTTTAGAATACTTTTTAGTTGTCAAAGGACCTTTATTTTATTTATTGATATATGGTTCTGAGAATCAAATCCAGTGCCTCACACATGCTAGGCAAGCACTCTGCCACTGAGATACAACCCCAGCCCCCAAATTATTCATTTTTACATGTCTAATCATACTCATTTCTAAAATATTTATTATTTTTTAAGATTGAAAAGTTTCCACCTGAGTGTGAAAATCTAGAGAAATATTATTGCTATGTGTGTGTGTGTGTGTGTGTGTGTGTGTGTGTGTTTACAACTAGATCTAGCAATAATTTTAATGTTAGCACCCTAGTAAGCCTTCTTCTGATAGGTGTTAATGAAGATCTGAATCATATAATATCAGAAATAAGAGTTGGCTAAACATGACACAGATTTTGCTAAAGCAAAACAACTGGCAATCTAGCTACTCTAACTTCAGGGGAATTACAAAGTTTAATCTAAAAGATTCCACCTCCCAAAGTATTTATCTATTTCACTTGTTTTTTCTTTGAATACTCACTCTGTTTTTGGAACAGCTTTTCTTAGCCAGATGAAATCAGACTGTGCTAAATACTTTCGGGTTTGCAGAACATTGCCAAAGTAGTCCGATTCTGAAAATTTGATCTGAAAAAAAAAAAAACATAATACATTGTTGTAAGTGAAGATAAGAGATGACTCTAAAAATAGATTTGAGCACATGAAGGAGCAACCAGCAGAGAAGCTACGGCCCTTGCAGCATCTTTCAGCCGTTACTGGTTAACCCAGGATTCACAAAGCCGTGAAATTTAATCTCAGTGATTTTCTTTTAACATAAAAGCTCAAAAATCAATATGGTCATTTCTGGATCACAGTTAAGAAAAACATGAGAAGCTACAGTAATTGACAATGTGTTCCATTTACTTTATAATTGAAAAATCTACTTTAACCTTTACAGAACATATCATCTTAGGTTTGAAATTTCTTGGCTCACAAGTTCTTGATCTTTCTAAAATGTGGACCTTATTTATTTGTCACCTAAGATTCTTCTAATAACATTCAGTTTAGTCAGCTGAAACCTCATTTAGTTTATAGATGATGATTTAGTCAAATGTTAAAATCCAATTTACTGTAATCGGCATTTGTTCATAAAGGAAAAAAATGAAACCAATTCAGAGACCCTATTTTCCACCCTAAGCACAAAGAAGTCACCAGAATAATTTAATTATTAAGAGAATTTATCTATTAATACAAAAAGGCTCTGGTCACTAAAAATTAATGAAATTACAGAGGAAAATCATAGATTATACTTTGCAATGGAATACAGGAAGTTGGTAGCTCACAATAATGTTGTCTACTAAGATAGGAAAATTGACATAATTATTGTGTTCCTTTTTTCTTTTTTCTTTTTGTTTTTTTTTTTGGAAGGAAATAGCAAACATTTTTAATACTAATACATTTCGTCTACAAAATCAGCAATATTTAACCTATAGATTCTAAATAATATCTGTACAGCAATAAAAGCAATAGCTGGTATTGCTAACTAATGCTTCCATTTTAAAATATATTACCATGGCAAAAATAAATGTAAAATATATAACTGCGGCAAATAAGGAAAGCACATTTTTGAATAGGTGAAAACTAAGAGTAATCAAATTATTAGCTATATTTTTTTTTTTGGTAACTTTAAGACATAGTTTGTCTTTTTTTTCTTTTCTTGGTGCTGAGGATTGAACCTAGGGCCTTGCACATGCTAAGCAAGTGTTCGACCACTGAGTTATATCCCCAACTCAAACCAAAGTCTTTTAAAATTAAAAATTAAAATACAGTAAATGTGTACATGTGAATACATATACATACATATACACAACTTGATAGTTACCAACTTGACATGTCACCTATTTGTTGGCCAATATCTGGCTCACATTTAGTTCCTCTCTAACATAGAGTGAGTATTCATGGTGGTGGTGTACACTCATTGTGTCCACAGACAACATCTGTGTTTCAATAAGTTTTCTATGTCAACAATCTTAAAAATCTTTCAATGGGAGCAGGTATAAAAGAAAGTGTAAAATAACTGAAAGCACACTGAGAAAGGGAGGAGTGGAAGTATCAATTTCCAGCACCCTTAATATTCTATTTGGCCAATAAATTATAAAGACATAACTTTAAATTGTCCTTTTCTTAAAGTGCTTCAGCAGGGAAAAGGGGCGTGATAAATAGATCATTGTATATTCATAGAAAACAATACAGTGTTTTAAATCAATGTTCTAATGCATGAACATGAAATAATCTGAAAAATAAGGTAAATAAGTTGTATGAGAAGATTTAAAATTTTAAAACATGTGAAACAATACTATATACTGTTTATGGACACAAACCTATATAGCAAAAGCATAAAGAAATACATAGGAATGATTAAGATTGATTTCACAGTACCATTTATATCCAGGGAAGAACATAGGTAAGGAGGAAGGAAATCAGATCAAGAATTAGACATTGAATTTAAAATGTATCTATTTTATGCATTTAAAATGTATGTGTATTCTGGGCACAGTGACACATGCATATGTGTCAGGAGGCTGAGGCAGGAGGATCAGTTGAACCCACCAGTTCTAGACCAGTTTGGGCAATACAATAAGATCCCCTTCTCTAAAATACTAATAGTAATAATAATAAATTAAATGTGTATGCATGTATAAAAGCTATTCAATAATATTTTTGAAGATAAATGTGTTCAAAACATTATTTTACATATTGTCCCAATGTTAGAAATGGTTCATAATAAAAAGAAATCTTCTAATTGATTGTTATTTTAAAATAGAGGTTTTCTCCTAGCTTCAAAAGAAACATAGAAAGCTTCTTGCTTTAGGAAATAGCCTTAACTAGCCTTCCTAAGACATTCTTGTATAATATAATTGAAAGATATGTCCAGGTGCCTGTAATCCCAGCTACTCAAGAGGAAGAGGCAGAAGGATTGCAAGTTCGAGGCCAACCTCAGCAATTTAGCAAGACTGTCTCAAAATAAAAATTAAAAGGGCTGGGGAATGTAACTCAGTGGCAAAGCACCCCTAGGTTCAATCCCCAGTACCACAAAAAGAAAAAGAGTCCATTGTTCAAACCTGAGCTTTTTTCAGCTTTTGTTTTTTTCCAAGATAGCCCTGCCAAGGCCTTTAAAACATTATTGTAACTGAAATAAAATTCAGATATGTTTTTTGGGTTCAGAACATTGGGGAATTCTCCCAAAAGTATTTCCTTTAAAAATAATAACTATTTTTTGAAATATTACTGAAGTCAGTTTTTACTTTTAGAAAAGTTTACTAATTGTGATACTTTCCCATTCCATCTAAAAAACAACACCAGGGGCTGGTAATACAGCTCAGTTGGTAGAGTGCTTGCCTTGCATGCATGAGGCCCTGGGTTCAATCCCCAGCACCACAAAATCAACATCATCATCATCATCATCATCATCACTAACTTGACACTGTTTGGTCCATAGACATTAAATATAAAACCATCTCAAAACTTCCAAAGAAAATAATTCCAAATCTAAAAACACTATAAATAAATAAAGTTCTACTATACCCACAAAAATAATCATTCAGAGTAAAACTTAACTATAACACATTACAATTTGCCACAGCTTATGTACATTTAGAAGGACAATTGTTATATTGTTTTAATTATTAAATGGTGAATATTTGTCTTTTCTTAGACTGGCTTAATTTATGCATTGCACTAATTTAATGGAAATGACAAGTAATGGGGATCAAGTCTTACTTCGAAGACAAAAGTGTCTGGAGGTAAGAGGGACGGTCATTATTCACATATGATAGATAAGAAATAGGTATAATGAGACTATGGATCTAGGCAAAGCCACACAGCCCAAATATTTGGCCCCTACTTCAATGTTATTTTCATTGGTTCTTATAAGAAACTCAGTAATTCAACAAAATGAGTACAGGGAAGAAGGAGGAGAAGATAAGAATTAGAAACTGGAATAGAAGTAGTGATTAAATAAAATCATCATATGGTTTACTTAATAAAATACTGTATAGCTATTAAACTAATGGTAAAAGGCTATGGAAGAAAGTGCCAAAATAAGGTTAACTGTAAACATCAGTATTAAATGCTATATAAACATCAATTATAGCTATATAGTAATAGATAAAACAGTACACTCTAAGGGAAATATACATTATTATGGTCAAGTACCAATATTGTGGGTACTTTTTAGTTCCTTTCTTCTATTTCTCAAATTTTCTTCCATGTGATAACACTTTGACAATTTCAAATGTCTCAGAAGGCCCTTGGATGAGAAAAAAACTCAAAATCCAGCAATGATAAGGAAAGTTATGTTTGTTGTTATAGAAATAGCAATAAAAATGTGCATAAATATTTAAATCACTTGTTATCTCCAAAAAAAAAATGTAACCTCTGCTAGGGACAATAATTAGCTCAAAAGCCTCTTGTCCTTTCAGTTACTGGGAAAAAATCTAGGTCAAGTTGATAATGACTTTCAATCAATTCTATCTCTTAACCTTTCAATGGAGTGACTTTTGGGGAACTAATTAGGTTCCCGTGTCATTTCTTAGGAATAGCTTTCCAGATTATAAAATTCATGGGAACTTGGATTTCTCTTCTTGGAAATTCTGGCCTGGATGCCAAGCACCAAATGTTTCATAATAAATGGAAGAATGCAGTTATTACTGTCTTCTCCCACGAAGTTAAGAAGCATATAACAAGGGCAGAACAAGGAAATATGTTCAGCTTCTTTGTAAAAAGAGTAAGGATATGTTTATAAGAAACTACACATACCAATGGAAATAAACATTCTAATGCACCTCTCCTTTAACTTAAATCCTTTAAAGATACTCAGAGATATATCTAAATATCTAAAAGATCATGTGTTAGGCCCTCAGATAATTTTCTGATGCTTAATGGAATCCAGATATTATATTTAGATTTTCCTTGTTTAAACAGCAGAGCAATATGCAAAACTGGTGTGCTTAGATGGCTTTGCTCATAAATGACATGTGAGTATACAGAGACACACACAGAAATATTACAGACCTCTAGAACCTATTCTTGGCTCTCCAATGTCACAGTAACCAATCACTAGAGAAACATGAGCGAAATATTTTTTGTTTTGTTTTCTTTGTTTTCTGCCAAATTGTAAAGAGTTATTTTCATATTTTAACCACCTCTTTTTCTAGAGAATTCCATCCAAATATCACCACACTCTTGCATAGTGATACTGTCATTTCCATGCATACATACACATGCATGCATGTGCACACACACACACACACACACACACACACACAATGTTCCCACGCCAGAGAATATAATGTGGGTCCACATAATATCTATCTATATGATATGTAGACATATATGTATAAGTGTGTGTATTACTCACAGCATTGATCTCTGAAACTTTACTCATTTCCAAGTCTGCTAAGTAGATGGAGTCCAGCTATGATTCTGACCAGAAGCCCTACTGCAGTTCTCCAGTCGTTTTCACAAAATAAATGAATGAAGGGCCTTCTAGTGTTTAGTTATTTGCCTATAATGACTCAGCTACCTTTCCACTCTGTTTAGTAATGCTGGGGGACCTAGGAATCTGAACATTCTGTTTCTCAAACTCCTTTGTCAATTGCTTTCCTGCATTGAAGGCACTGGGGGTAAATCAGTGGGTGGCAGGAGGGGGGATGTTTTGCTCTCCAGTCCTCTCTCTTTTGCCCATCTCCTCCTTCCTTATGACAATGACTTTGGAAGAATGTTTGGTCCCTCCTCCATAGGCCAGCAGCTCTGGAGTGGCAGTTCCTCCTCTGCTCTCCACATCCTCTCTTCTGTGTCCCTAGGCCCAGGGTTGGTAGCTGCTTCCTAAAGTTATGAATCTCTAGTTTACCTCCCCTTCCCATTCTTTGTCTTTCAACTTATTTCTTATATTAAATTCCTGTTCAAGCCAGGCACAGTGGCACATGCCTGTAATCACAGCAGTTTGGGAGGCTGAGACAGGAGGATTCACAAGTTCAAAGCCAGCCTCAGCAATGGCAAGGCCCTAAGCAACTCAGTGAGATCCTGTCTCTAAATAAAATACAAAATAGGGCTGGGAAGTAGCTCAGTGGTCAAGTTCACCTGAATTCAGCCCTGGTACCCCCTCCAAAAATCCCTATTCAAAATACCTAGTATGCTTTTTGTTCTCATGGATGATACAGCAATCTTGCCAAAATTGGTATAAAACTCACTCTTGAGTCTATTTCCATTAAGGATCAATGAAATAGAATACATATTTATAAGGCTAATTTGAAAACAGATTGGCTCCTACTTTGTTAAACTAACTAATAGGCTTTCCTGCATGCTGATGTGAGTTCAAATAAAGGGCATTTCCTTTCTTCTTGTTCTTTTCAAAAACTGTAAGAGTATTGTTGTGCAGAAATGCTTTGTGAGGTATCTCAGTTTACCTTGTTATCCTCAGATAAAAATAAAATTCTCTGATTCTTTTGCCTCTCAATTCTTTTTTTATTTGCTCTTATCTCCATATGAGCCCAACTTCAGTTTGCAACCTTCCTCCTTGACCTTCATCTGATCCATCACCTAATCTCACTCCTCTTTCCTTTTGTATGTGTACCTGATGAATCATATCTTCACCAGTGTCAAATGTAGCATGCCACTTTTCATTTGTAACAGCCTTTCATGCTCACAGCTTATATTACCAGAAATTTCTCATAGGCCCTGAAGTAGTCCTTATCTACATGTCTCTAAATCTGAAAACACAGTCCTATTGTATACTAGCAATACTCCAGTCCTTTTGCTATTAACCTCAGTGACACTATTATATTCTATCACATCATTGTTTATCCTATTTTCAGGTTGGGTTTTATTCATCTCCTCTATCAGTTTCTGAACACAAATATCTTTTTACTCCATGTATTTGGATTTTGTTCACGGTTAGAAACTCTTGGGTGTAATTTTGTCTGCTTTGGCAATGAGTCAGATGAAAGCCATTTCTGCACAAAAGTACTTAAAAATCTTGGTGTCTAATGGCTTCATTTCAGGCCCTGGAGAAATGAAGAAGCATATCTAGCATATCCTGTTTGGTATCTGGTTTCTTTTCACAAAAGATACTGCATTCAATGAGTTCTTAAATCAGGTCTCTCAACTTAGACAATCACAGACTGCCAACAAAACTTGATCAACTGAAAATTGTGAGTGAGCCCTGAATGCTACATGATTTGATTAAAGCTTGGGACTGTTCCATCTGTAAAGCCTTTTAAATCAATTTGAGGGACCTGGATACTGCATGAGTTAATTCATGATGATTTTTTCCAAACCAAAATAATCCACTATCATAAGTGCAAATTGAAGATGTCATAGCTGATACTTTTGTTTGTGCTTATGTGCCAGAGTCAGCTCTAAACACTTCAAATGCTCCTATATGGTAGAAATTATTATCATCTTCATTTTGCAGATGAGAAAACTGAGGAACAGAAAGGATCCACAACCTATCCAAGGTCCCAGAGATAGTAAGTGGCAGACCAGGGATTTCACTGTATGCAGTCTGTCTCCAGGGTTCATGTTCATAACTGATATACCTAACTGCTTCTTCAATTTCTTCCTCCATATCCTGACTTGACATATTTACCTCTTACACATGATTGTCCAGGTTCTCCTTCTAAGATACTTCATGCTCTGTTGATGCTCTTCTTACTAGCAAAGTTCTCATATTGATCCGCAAGACTAATTATATATATATATATATATATATATATATATATATATATATATATATATCCTATTATGTGCCAGACATTGTACTATGTACTTCCACAATCATATAGTCTCATCTGCCTACTAATACTAAGGCTTGATTATTATCTCCTGTATCCAGACAACCAAAAGGAAGCTAACTAGAGTTATATAACCTGCACAAGATCAAACAATTAGGCAGTGAAGAGGCAAAATTCAAACCCAGGCCACTGTCTCTAGGCTCCTGACTACTTAACAATATGGCATACCCTCTTCCATTTTCCTTCTCATCAGCTCTAGTAAAGCTGCTGCAACCAAAGTTTCCTGAACCTAGATTTCAGTCCTGGCTCTGATACTGTGTGTGGCACCAAGAAGATCACTAAACTTCTCTGAGTCTCTTATGTTCTATGCAAAATGAGCATAAACATATTCTCTTCATCACTGTATGAATTAGAAGATAATGTACATGAATGTATAAAGTGCTTGAGTATTTTTAATTACCATATAAATAATGAGGTTTTCAGCATCATCAAAATGGTGCATAAGATAGGCTGTCTGAGCTTTAAGATACTGGAAAACAGAATTATTTCCCTCCAGAGCAAGTGGATCAATACTTTGCAAGGCCATATCTTAGAGCTCAATGGAGAAAATTTTAAATGAGATTTTTCTCTCGCTTTAAATGCCCTTATAAAATTCTGATGCTTGTCCACAAAGCTCAGACTAATTACAGATATGCCACTTGTCGAGCCACAATTTCAGGAAAAAGCTACACCTCAAAACCATAGTTATTTAAAGGATACTTTTTCAAGAAAATCTAGTGAATGGTAAAAATAGTAGCTTTTTTCCCCCTGTGAGGAATAAAAATACTTTACCAGAACTATTTATAAGAAATACAATAACAGTGGTTGTGATTAGAAAGACCTATAATGAATATTTCTACTATAAAATACATGCTCCAAAATATTAGAATAAAAAAGAATTATTACTATTATTCATTACAAACATACAATCCAACTCATATAAATTATAGTCATATGTATATGTATTTAATTTGCCAAAACAGTCATAAAGTTTAATGAAGTTAACTCGAATTAGGCAGATTTATTACTTTTCACTTAATATGAATGAAGTAAATAAAAAGTATTTAATATAAACATGATGCATTCACCATTAGAACATGCCCACTAATTGTGAAATACTTGATTTGTTTAATTCTTTTCTTTATGATCAAATTAGGCCAAATCCAACTCCCTTTGCTTTATGGTGTTCACTCAGCTATGCATTCTTTCTGACACTTCCTTTATTTTGAATCTGCTCTAAATCTTGTGATACGCCTGGCATATTCAGGTTCATATCTAGCCAAGGAATTAATCAAAAGTTGGTACTTTCTGGCACCACCAGGTTTAATTGCTTGGACTTGGGTTAGTTGAAAGGCATAAGGCCAGTAAAACTTGCCAGGAAAAAAAATACAGTAAATTTAGCACTTACTGCCTTGAGGTCTTCATTAACATGAGTATCATTCATTATAAACTCAGGGTAGCCAACTTTTGCCAAAACAGCTCTTGCCTATAAAAAGGAAAAAGAAAAATGATGTCAGAGTTTTAGCACTTAAATCATTAATAACTACAGGATGAAGGAATGCAATCTTCATCTGGAAACTCCATTTACTGAATATCTACTACATGCAAACCACTGTGAAGGACAAAACAAAAAAGAAACAAAAGTTAGTCTCTGCCCTCAATATAGGGAGAAGAGGAATATTCCAGAAAAAAAAGAAAGAACAACCAAGCAAAGACAGAGAGGGAAGATATTTATGAACCATATATCTGATTAAAGGTTAATATCCAAAATTACATAAGAAACTCAAGTAACTCAAGAAAGTAACTAGAATTAAAAATGGGTAAAGAATCTGAAAAGGCATTTCTCAAAAGTAGATGTATGCATCCAACAAGTATATGAAGAAAATATTCCAACATCACAATCATTAGAGAAATGCAAATTAAATCACAATGAGATATTATCTCACACCTGCTAGGTTGCTATTATCAAAAAGACAAGCTTAAATTGTTGGATGTGAATAAAAGAGAATCCTTGCCTGTGGAGGCAGAAATGTCAATTGGTACAATCACTATGGTACAGTATGACGACTGCTCAAGAAATTAGAAATAGAACTACAAAACAGCAAGGACATCCAGCAATAAGATCCAGCAATCCCACTCCTCGGTATATATCCAATGGAAATGAAATCAGTATGTCAAAGACACATTGGCACTCCCATTTTCACTGCTGCACTATTCACAAGAGCCAAGGAATGGAAAAAAACAGTGTCCATCAGTTGTTGAATGGATAAATAAATTGATACATATACACAATGCAATACTATTCCCCCATAAAACAGGATGAAATCTTATCATTTGGGACAGCACGGATGGAAATGAAGGTCATTGTATAAAGTGAAATAAAACAGGTACAGAAAGATAGGTACCACGTGATCGCCCTCGTTTGTGGAATTTTTAAAAGCCCAAATTCTCAGAAGCATATAGAATGATAGTTACCAGGGGTTAGGTGTTAGGGGTTAGGGGTTGGACTTGGCTAGATGTTGGTTAAAGATACAAAATTTCAGTTAGATAAGAGGACTAAGTTCAGGAGATCTATTGTACAATATGGTGACTACAGTTAATAACAATGTCATATACTTGAAAATTGCTAAAAGTATATTTTAAATGTACTTATCACCAAAATAATGATAAATGTGAAGTTGAGCATATGCTACTTACCTTGATTTAGCCATTCTACAATATATACATATATCACAATATCCTGATATATACCATAAATATATAAATAATTTTATCTGATGTACAGAACACCCTGTCCTGAGTTACTCCATTTTGTATAAGAGCAGCATCTTTCAGGTCATCCCACGTGACTTGTTGAGGGTGTTGCTGAAAAAAACCAACTGCCTATCAACCACTGTGCCACCCAGGGAGCTTAGTCGGTAGGTATAGCTGCTTCCAAACTCAGAGCTCTGGGTTTGCTGACCCTGAGAGTCACTTGCCACCCTCCCTTCAACATCAGTGTTCAGAAAGGAAAAATTAAACCTATCCTGAAACTTATTCCCTAGGCCTCCAGGCTACCTGAAAACAACACCATGTATAAAATGATGGTCTCTGTTTCTGAGCTGCCTATAGTTGTTGAGGTATGGAATTGGAAGGTCCCCTATAGTGGACCATGGCACCTCAATGAGAAAGTAAGGAAATCTGATGGTCTGGACAGTAAGTAGACAGGTAGGGATTGCTCTTTGAGAGGTAACTATTACTCTGTGTATCCAACACTTGGTGGTTATTCACTTGCACAGACAAGATGCCAAGTCATTCTGCCTTAGGACTTGTACTCAAAATGGAGTAGCTCAGGATAAACTGCCATTCTATATAAAAGGGTATAACTCAGGGCAAAAATACAGTAACTTAGAGCAGGACACAGACTGTTCTCTACATCTGACAATTTAAATAAATATGAAAAACAGACAGGAATACAGGAAACAAATGAATCACAGGGATCACTGGGATACCTGAATGCCATGCTAATGAGGCTATATTTTATTTTACAGCTAAAACATAGCTAAATATTTTTATCAGGGGAATAAAAAGAGATGAGTTGTGCTTCAGGAAGATTATCTGTGCAACATTGTAAGTGATGGTCAGAATAACAGAAAGATTGGAGGAAGGGGGTCCAGAATAATTTGAGATACATAATAACATCGCAACCATCTTTTTGATAGACAAAGGTACTAAGTAACCTCTATGTTTTGCAGTATACAGAGAATAGATAAAGGGGGAAAATCACCTTAGGCACATGTCAGCGGTCTCTAGAGCAGAAATTGGTACACTATGGCCCCTGGGCCAAACCCCAGACCTCCTCCCCTGTCTCTTTATATAAAGTTTTATTGGAACATGGCCACACCCATTTGTATGTGTGCTTTTGTACTACAACTTTGAAGTTGACTTGTTGGGATGGAAACCCTGTGGCATACAAAGACTCAAAATTTTATCTGGGCCTTTTGGAGAAAGTTTGCCAGCCCTTGCTCCAGAGAAACATTACAGTTCCATGTAAAAAAATATTTTCCCTTCACTCCTCTAATTCTGAGTTTCACAAAAACAAAAAAGCAGCTCACCAGAGTGATGTGAGTGCATCATCAAGGTCCTGGCCAGATCCCCTAAGATCCCTTTAATAAATTATATGTGTACACATCCTCATCTCCAGATCTGCTTCCAGATGACCAGCATAAGACCCAGGCACGCCAAAACCATTGGTTTTAATCCAGCAAAGTAGCAATGCAAATGGGTGACTTTTGCATACTGCTCTTGGTAATGAGTTTTTCCCCTAGTCCTTTTCAATTTTTCTCACTCAAGAAATAAAAAGAATAAGATAGTACATTTTCCTTATCTTCCTTAAGATAATCCAAATATTAAATATCAGCAGAAACCTGCAACTCAAGACAGAGAAGATGTTACAAGGGCCGTAGGACACAGTCATGACGGGTTTTGCTGTTCCACAGACTCAAATATAGCAGATCAAATTCTACCCTGTAAGTTACACACACTAAAAGCTTGATGTGACCCAAACAGTAAATAACTGGAGGTTATGAGTCTCCACCGAACACAAAACAATATATCATATATCTATAGATTACCTTGTTCTGAAACTGTTTTTATTTCCCTCATTGTACTTAATTTCTCACTGTATTTTTGCAGTCCACCACAAGTCATGTGTATAACTATAGCAAATAAAGAGCTATGGATAGTTTTTCCCATGGTGCTCCCTCTCCAATAAGAAATAAACAAGCTGACTCATCCACAATTGCTGTCTGAACACTGGCCTTTCTAGAGCATGCTGGTAAATTGGTAAATTATGCATTGTTTTTCAAACCTCATTCTCTGGGACCCCCACTGTACTATGATGTCTCACAGAACATATTACCTTCTGTACTGTATAAGCAAGCCATTGAATCCTTTCTTATTATTTATTTAGCATCACCATGAATTGAAGCAAATCAGACCAGATATGAAGAATCCCTATTTACCTCCCAATGATACACAGCTAAAATAAGGTAATAATACCAGTAGCAACATTGCTAACAAATAAATGCAATGTTCTTCTTCTCAAATGTGAACATATGCCTGTATTCAGATTCAAATGCTTCTTCTGCCAGAGCTTACTACTGTAAATTCCACATCCTCCCAGGCACCCCACTCTACATTTTTCCCTGAGAAGCTTCAGAACTGCATCTTTCAAAATTCTATGAAGCATGGTTCCAGGTTAGACTGCCAATGAGAAGCACTCACAGGCCACTGGGAAGACAGAAGAGGAAACAACATTTATTCATTGTTGGTAGTCAAAGGCAATGCATGGGTATCTACACTTTGCCAGCAACTGCCAGGCATTCTCCTAGGGAAGACCCATGGGTGTGCAGGCAGCAGAGATTATAAGCAGGCCCTACTTTTCACTTCCCAGCCCTGCAGTGGTTGCATAATCTGCCAATTCCCTGTGCTGAACATTTTCCTGCTTGATATATTTAGAAAAGTACCTGTTTTCCTACATGAACCCTAAGGCAGATAGTGATCACATTACTTTTTATGGTAAAATTTCTAGAATTGGATATGTAAAGCACTAATAATTTGATGGTTTGTTATAGGGCAAAATATTAGGAGGCAGGTCTGAAATCAATTATCCCTCTGGTAACATGGATAAGAATGAAAGACCTGAGACAATATAAGTATGAATATTTAACATATTGCATGTTATATCATACAAGTTATATTTTCTTAGTTCTTTGAGGATGGTCAAAAACTCAAAGGTTTTTTCATCCAGTATATACATTTCCATCCCTTATTCCTACAGACACTTGGAGAGGAGTTGCACTTGACTGGACATCCTTCCTCAGTAGAGGAGGCTCCAGCAACTCTTTACCACTTCCATGACCTTAAAAATGTACTTCAAGGGGCTGGGGATGTGGCTCAAGCAGTAATGCATTCGCCTGGCATGCGCGGGGCACTGGGTTCAATCCTCAGCACCACATACAAATAAAATAAAGATGTGCCCACCAAAAACTAAAAAATAAATATTAAAAAACGCTCTCTCTCTCTCTCTCTCTCTCTCTCTCTCTCTCTCCTCTCTCTCTTTAAAACAATGTACTTCTCTAAAGTAAACACTTTCTAGTGCCTACCCAACATCTATTCTCCCTTTTTTTCCTCTTACTATCAAGACCCAAATTCTGCTCAGTATGATAATGGACCCACCAAAAAAAAAATGGCTGCAACACCTGCTTCCTTCACAGCTGAATTTGGCTGTGGCATGACACTTGGGCAAATGATATATAATTAAAAATCCTTGCTGAACTTCCAAGGATCCATTTTAATAGCGAACAGAGTCAAGTGGCATGTGCTTCCTGTCTTTAGTCCAACGTTTCTCAACCTCAACACTACAGACATTTTCGGCTAGATAATTCTTATGGGGGACTGGCCTGTAGACTGTAGGATGTTTGGCAGCACCTTTGGTTTCTATAC